GATCTGTGAGCAGCCCTTGGTTACTGTAGGTTTATCAAAGACCTCTATATCTATGGGCAGTCCTTGGTGACTTGGTTTATCTAGACATCTATATCTCTGGGCAGTCTTTAGTGACTTGGTTTATCTAGACCTCTGTATCTCTGGGCAGTCCTTGGTGACTTGGTTTATCTAGACCTCTGTATCTATGAGCAGCCCTTGGTGACTTTGTTGATCTAGACCCCTATATCTATGGACAGTCCTTGGTTACAGTAGGTTGATCAAGACCTCTATATCTGTGAGCAGCCCTTGGTGATTGTTGGTTGATCTTGACCTCTTTATCTTTGTTGCAACCATTGGTGACTTGGTTGATCTAGACTTCTATGTGTATGGGCAACCTCTGGTGGCTGTTGTTTTTCCCTTGATATTATTAAACCAATAGCTTCATGGAATTGAATGCAATATATACAGCTAAGAACAATAATATGTCTGATACTCTTAAATGAAAATGTGTCTATGATAGTAAAATGCCTAACTGGTACATCAACTCTAGCCATGAACATGAAAACATCAATATAAATCACCAGGAATGATCCAAAGTCTTGATGTTTTCTTGGTCGTCCTTTGAACTATGGAACATTCAAGTTTGACTGTATATGTATCAGTAGCAGTACAGATAGGTTTACATTCAGGATGGATTGGATTGTTTTGACAGTTTTAAAACTATTGCCTACTGATAAATATTATTAAGATTTTGTAATATGCACTTAAACCTCATTATCTAGAACTTGAAAACCACATTTAATTTGAAACACTTCATCTGTCTTTACACAAAACATTTGAACTCACTTCAATTGAATTCTTGGTTATCTCAAACTTTTCCCGTGGTCCTGCTGAGTTTGAGATAACCAGGTTGGAGGTTCGACAATAGCTTGGAGTCTAAAGATTCTGATGTAAGATTTGCTGTATTACTTATTATACAATTCCTGTAGGTTTATAAAACGTCAGGGCTTCAGAGGTTATGTCTGAATATTTGTCAGTGCTAGTATATGTGCCTGGTATATAGGTGTATTTTATCTTACCTTCTTCCTAAAGTACCATGCTGATCTCAGCTGTGAAAGATATAGACTCTATATATAAACAATAATAGCACACTCTCTATCTACATTATCAGTTAACAAAATAACCAAACTGATTCTTCACCACTGAAGAGAAAAATAGAAAATGTTGAGTCCAGGTTAAATCTTAAGACTATTTTTCATTTGATTTTATCATGTAATATATGAAGCTTGTACTTATTACATGTATGATACAGAATGTAAAGATCAGGTGTCTGCAGGCTTCTTACAATCACCATATTCTTTTCTTTTGTCATAGACGAGTTTTCACAGTCTGCTTTCAGATTAAACTTGTATATTTCCATTTTAAGGTCTAAAGTGTATCTTATTCTACTTCATTTTTGTTCATGTACTGTAACTGTATTGTAAGTATCACTAAAGGTAAGGGTTTATCTTTCACAGCTAAAATAGGCTTTCTAATTTCTGATGGGAATTCTAATTTTGATACCTGTCTGTGATGAGATTACATTTCCTCGTCACATTCTCAGATGGGATTACTAATATGTTTAATATCTAAATTTTTTATCTATCAAGAAATGAAATGTCAGCATTAAGAAAGGAATAGAAATAAAATCGAATGTTCTCACCAGGTTTAGGCAGTGTTCTGTCAAATTGTTCTCTTATATTAAATCTTATTCTTGGTTATATAAAGTGTTAAGATAATAGTGGGAATACACAGGTAACCTTACAATGTACCTATAATGAGTTTTACCTCTGTCCCTAGAGTAATGATCAGGGCATTCACCTGATGTTAAGTGGATGATGTTGATTTGACTGGAGTGTAACTCCCCTATGACCGACTAGGTACTGTGTTGTTTGTATGGATCCTAACACAAACAACATGCAGAATTCTGTAATTACCAGATCAGGCTAATTTCTATACTGTTTTCCAGGTTCACCATGTAAATGACGTTTAATGTGTTGCGACTTATTAGTTTCAGCTTTTGAAATAAACAATAACAGGATGAAGCATGGCCATTTTTATGCATTTTTTATATGCCTGGCATAACTTTTGTTTTTCTCCTCGCACAGTTTTAAACATTTCTTTCAAACTTGGTAGGCTTAGTCACCATGACATGAAGTTGTGTGTCTGTGTTACTAAGAGTTACTGCCACGAGTTTGCATAATGTTACTCCTGTTCCGAGATCTCTTTCTGTTTTCAATAGAATTTTTTTTTCAAACTTAGGAGGATTAATCAGTTGTGTTTTCCTGAATGTCAGTTTGATTTGTCTGTATTTGGAAGAGTTAATGCCCCTTGTTGTTTTCATATTATTAATTTTGTCTGGTGATCTTCTCTTTCAATTTCAAACCTATTTCTTTCTAACTATGTGTGCTTTATCACCATTATACGACGTATGTTTTCTTGAACGACAGCTTGTTTCGACTGAAGAGTTACTGCCCCTTGTTGTTTTCATCAAATTTATCTTGTCCATAGATCTCTCTCAGTTTTCAACCAATTTGTCGCGGACTTGGTAGGCTTAATCACATAGCATGAAGTTGCATTTTCTGAATGGTGGTTGGATTTTACTATATTTAGAAGTCACTGCCACTTGATTTTAGCTCACCTGGCCCAAAGGGTCTATCATTCGTCATCTGTTAATTTTTACTATATATTGCAACTATTCGTGAACCTTTTGCAGGTTTTAATTTCAAATTTGATCTGAAGCAGCCTTGATGAAAGAGGAAATAATTTGTGAAAATGATGGGCCTGCCACCGACCCCTTTTCTTAAATTCAGAAATTTGATTTGAATCCTAAAGACCTGGGATGGGGCCCCAAAAGGGCAGTTAGGCAACACTTTGCTTCAAAAAGCTACTCGTCCTTAATGCTTGAATGGATTTCATTCAAATCTTGTCCGCAACATCAGTAGGGGTTGGGAAATAATTCTTAAATTCAGAAAGTTAATTTGACCCCAAAAGACTTTGGGACATGGCTTCGAAAGGAGAAGTAATCAATATTTTGCTTCAAAATGGTATTCTACCAAATTTGGTGTGAAACATTATTGTTAGGTAAGTTACCATTTCTTAAATTCGGAAAGTTGAATTGATCCCTCTGAACCTCAGGGCGGGGTCACAAATAGGAAGGTGATATTTTGCTTCTAAACGCTACTCTTCCTTAATGCTTCAATATATTTCATTCCAATTTTGTCTGAAACAACAGCAGAGGTGGTCAATTAATTCTTAATTCAAAAAGTTGGTTCAGCCCCGAGGTACCTGGGAGTGGGACCCCAATGGGAAAGTTAGTCAATGATTTTGCTTGAAAATGCTATTCTTTCTTAATGCTTGAATGGATTTATATCAAACGTGGTCTTAAATATCATCATGGGAATTAATCAGATATGTCAGAATATCATCTGTTTTATCTGGTTTGTCCATCACTGCATCAATTGTCAGATGACTGTTAAGGGTAATGGCCCTCTTGTTTTGTTTTAAGATATATCATTTAAAATTGCAAAACACAGCACACACAATATACTTCCCTGCCATAGCATATCTCAATTATCTCAAATATTATGTGTTTTATATCATACGTTGTAAAACTTTACACAGGGCGTGTATGTTGTTAATGGCATTGTCTATTAGTATTATAAGCTTTTTGTCCTGACCATGACCATACAAAATTATATATTATAATCACCATATGAATTCTCTACTATCCCAGTTAGTGCCTGTTGTATTCTTCATGACAAGCAACAGTTACAGTTTTCACTGGTCTTTATTATAACAACTATCCTAATTGTACGTTGAGAAAGATCATACAAATTAAAACCTCTTTACTTATATAGCTACATGTTCTTATTATTACTGTGATATAGTTTTGACAGTTTTTTTGTATAGGTCATTCTCTGTTTATATATATATAAAGGTCAAGTGAGTCTTTTTAAATAATAAACTTTATTTATTTTACAACAATTGCGAAGCAAGTTTTTCCAACTTATATAAATCACTCTTGTTGGCTCGGATGGAAGTGCCCGAGGGAAACCGGAGTACCGTGGGAAAACCCACGTGGTCGGGCAGGTGATCCCATACCTTTTCACGTCCCTTCCGGGAATCAAACCCTGGACGGCTAGGTGAAAGGCGAGTGCGTTACCACTGTGCCACCCGACCACCTCTTTCTAAAGAGCCATGACACCTAATGTGGTTGTATTTGGCCTATAGCTGTATCAGGAAGGACTTGTCTGATTGTTTCAAATCATGTTCTCTCACATCCACGAACTTTCACCATTGCACATCCAAACTTGTAGCAAAGCCTCTGTTTGGTCAAAATTTAAGTTTGGCCTGATTTTGTCCTAATTTATTTGGTATAGGTGAGATTACGTAGGGAACTTGACCCTGGACTTTGATTAAGATCAAATGTTTTAGAGATCTATGTATAATTTCCACTAATAGATCTCACTTATACTGCTCCATTCTTCTTCAGGTTTGAAGAATATTGATAGCTATTGTAGAAACTCACCTTTTGTGCCATAGTTTGTGATGTGAGCACTGACCACAGAAGTAACCGTTTACAATTTTCCTGTTGTTTTCTAGATTGCCGAAGTTGATGACATGCACGCTTAGCTGTTGAAGTTGATACTGTTTACGATTTTATTTTATTGTTTTCTAGAGTGCCGTAGTTGGTGACGAGAACGCTGACCTGTTGAAGTCCATGTTGTTTACAATTTTACTTTATTGTTTTCTAGAATGTCGGAGTTTATGACGTGAACGCTGACTTGTTTAAGTCGCTAATGTTTACAATTTTACTTTATTGTTTTGTAGAGTGCCGTAGATGATGACGTGAATGCTGACTTGTTGAAGTCGATGTCATTTACGATTTTACTTAATTGTTTTGTAGAGTGCCGTAGATGATGACATGAACGCAGACCTGTTGAAGTCGATGTTATTTACGATTTTACTTTATTGTTTTCTAGAGTGCCGTAGTTGATGACGTGAATGCTGACCTGTTGAAGTCGATGCTGTTTACACCTTTATTAATTGTACATGTGATAGAGATTTCACTTATCTCCCTTGGCTTCCTGATCCTCATTGGAACAGTCATCTATGGATTGTGTGAACAACAAATTAGAAGAAAGGTAATGGTATCAACATACATTTGTATCGAATGTCTCTGTCTTTATCCTGAGCAGTGTGAATATTATATATCTCAAGGAACGCATGTATATTCACACTTTGTTATAAGTATGATGTAGGTGTCACACTCCCTGTTCTGTTATATTTTGTTATAAGTATGATGTAGGTATCACACTCCCTGTTCTGTGTGTTATAAGTATGATGTAGGTATCACACTCCCTGTTCTGTCATACTTTGTAATAAGTTTGATGTAGGTATCACACTCCCTGTTCTGTCATACTTTGTTATAAGTATGATGTAGGTATCACACTCCCTGTTCTGTATGTTATAAGTATGATGTAGGTATCACACTCCCTGTTCTGACATACTTTGTTATAAGTATGATGTAGGTATCACACTCCCTATTATAAGTATGATGTAGGAATCACACTCCCTGTTCTGTATGTTATAAGTATGATGTAGGTATCACACTCCCTGTTCTGTGTGTTATAAGTATGATGTAGATGTCACACTCCCTGCTCTGACATACTTTGTTATAAGTATGATGTAGGTATCACACTCCCTGTTCTGTATGTTATAAGTATGATGTAGGTGTCACACTCCCTGTTCTGTATGTTATAAGTATGATGTAGGTGTCACACTCCCTGTTCTGTATGTTATAAGTATGATGTAGGTATCACATTCCGTGTTCTGTATGTTATAAGTATGATGTAGGTGTCACACTCCGTGTTCTGTATGTTATAAGTATGATGTAGGTGTCACACTCCCTGTTCTGTATATTATAAGTATGATGTAGATGTCACACTCCCTGTTCTGTATGTTATAAGTATGATGTAGGTGTCACACTCTGTGTTCTGTATGTTATAAGTATGATGTAGGTGTCACACTCCCTGTTCTGTATGTTATAAGTATGATGTAGGTGTCACACTCCCTGTTCTGTATGTTATAAGTATGATGTAGGTTTCACACTCCGTGTTCTGTATGTTATGAGTATGATGTAGGTATCACATTCCCTGCTCTGTATGTTATAAGTATGATGTAGGTATCACACTCCCTGTTCTGTCATACTTTGTTATAAGTATGATGTAGATGTCATACTCCGTTTGTATCCAGAAAGATATTTTGGTTAAGTAAAATCATATTGCAGTCATTCAGATTGGACAAGGTTTGTTAGGGACAGAAGGCAACCAAACTACTACCACTCTTTCTCATCCTATTAGAAACCTGTTATCTTGTTAGCTTTCCTTTGTTTGACTGCTAGATTTTTTTGAGACAGAGAGAGAGAGAGATTCTGTAAATGTCCTCAAAAGTTGATAACCCAATATGTGCTGGGAAGAAGGAATATTCACTGTAGGATAATTGTATATTTTGAACTTGCTTATTTTCTCGACAACACAGCTCAAAGGTGTACCTCTTGTTAAGTTGTGATAAGAAATTTACCCGTTTGCATTTCCAAAATGAAGCCTGACTTAAAAATTTCAAACCTGTAGCCTGTTGGAATTGAGTTAGTATGCTATAAAATTTATGAGAAAACAAATGACTTTGACCCATATTCAAGATCATAAAGTTTTGTTAAACTTTCTAATAACTTTTGATTAACCAGAAAATCTGTTTAATGAATTGTTAACAAAATGTTATTTTTAGCTTTCCAAAAAACAAAAAAACATCTCTTTAAATTCTAGAAACCCTAGAATGATATTAATTCTTTCCAAAAGGATACACCATAAGATGTAGATCTTGATGAATTATATCAAAATGGAGTACAAACATTTTGGTTTTTATCCTCACGATGATAGTCATATGTAGGGATCTGCACGTAAGTATGTACATTCTAGTCTTACGTGTCCCACATGACAATCAACTTTTGTAAAAGTTTGCATCTGAAGCTTCCATGTTAAAAAGAAACATTTTCCAAAAAGAATTGAGTGTCAGCTGAGCAATACAGGCAGGCCCACTGGATTCTTCACAACGAAGTTGGAGGGTATACTGGAATATTGTTCAGAGAACTGCACCTAAGCCATGGAATCAATTCCAACAAAACTTTATATCAATGTAAAGGATCAGAAGTAGATGTGCATGCAAATTTTTCTTCTTTTTTTTCCAAAACTTTAGTTACCTGGTAACTGGTAATTGCAAACAAAATTTACTATATATGCCATTACTCCTTCATCATTGAACAGATTTTATTATTTGAATATGGTCAAATCATGTAAGTAGTTAAAACCTATAGAAAGATACATTAGGTGTTTCAGAAACAGCTACTATGGCAACACAGTTCTGGCTTCTGATTGGTCAAAATTAAGATATTATTCTATTTTTACCAAATTTGGTTTAAAGGGGTATAAGGGGATGCCAAAAATCACTGTATGTGTTTCATTGCCATGACACCCATGCTAAGGCAAATGGTGGATTCTGATTGGTTGAAATTTAGATATTGACCAATTTTCTTCAAATTTGGTTCATAGGGGCTTCAGGATATGCCAAACATCACTGTAATGTTTCAATTGTTATGACAACTATGTTGAGGTAAATTTTGGCCTCTTATTGGTTAAATTTAGATATTTGATTTTTATCTGATTTTGTGTGCACTAGTATTAGGAAATGCTGGTAATTTTTCAACTGCTTTTGACGTCTTTTTGGCATTTAGACCAAATTTAATATACAGAGGTCCTTGAATCTGAATTTGAAGTTGAAATGAATTCTATACATTTCCATAGAAATATGAAATACCTACCAGTAGTGTAGGATGTTAGTAGTAACAGAGAGTTACAGGTTGATGCTTGACTCAATGTGTAGCCCAAGTTTAGGACATCAGTGGTAACAGTTGGTTACAGGTTGATACCAGACAAAATGTCTAGCAGAAGTCAAGGACATCTGTGGTAACAGAGGGTTACAGGTTGATACCAGACAAAATGTCTAGCAGAAGTCAAGGACATCTGTGGTAACAGTGTTATAGGTTGATACCAGACAAAATGTCTAGCAGAAGTTAAGGACATCTGTGGTAACAGTGTTATAGGTTGATACCAGACAAAATGTCTAGCAGAAGTCAAGGACATCTGTGGTAACAGTGTTATAGGTTGATGCTTGACTCTGGATACAAAATCAGAAGCACATGTCCTGATGGTTTATACAAGTTACAGAATACAATGTATCTATAAACACCTTGATTACATAACATCCACCACCGGCAACTCCTCAATAGAAAACAGTTGGCTGCTTCTACATAGAATTCATAGGGCAATGAACTTTTCTTTGTTCAAAAGATTCAAGTCAGTATATTGTTTCTCGGCCTTAGATATTACATGTACATACAAGTCACAGGAATATGTAACAGTTTAACTGGTATAGACCAGGACAGTGGTGGGCTTGTAATAGCAGTTCTCAAAAGTACTGTCAGTTTCATTAGAAAAGTCTACAAAATCTTTGTCATAGCTTTATTATCAGACTCTGGGTCAGATATGTCACATGTGACCCCTGGCATCATGGTTTGAAATGTTGTTATCAGATACCAATAGTGTGTCTGACTCAAGCATTTGACACATGACACTTGGCATCACTGCTTGGTCTGCTTTTGTGATCTGATGATGAGAGTGTATAAGACTTTTTAGTCAGACATTTGACACATGACACTTGGCATCACTGCTTGGTCTGACAGTGTATAAGAACAACACTTGGCATCACTGCTTGGTCTGTCGTTATGATTTGATGATGACAGTGTATAAGACATTTTAGACAGACATTTGACACATGACACTTGGCATCACTGCTGGGTCTGCTGTTGTGATCTGATGATGACAGTGTATAAGACTTTTTTAGTCAGACATTTGACACATGACACTTGGCATCACTGCTTGGCCTGTTGTTGTGGTCTGATGATGACAGTGTATAAGACATTTTTAGTCAAACATTTGACACATGACACTTGGCATCACTGCTTGGTCTGCTGTTGTGATCTGATAATGACAATGTATAAGACATTTTAGACAGACATTTGACACATGACACTTGGCATCACTGCTTGTTCTGCTGTTGTGATCAGATGATGACAGTGTATAAGACATTTTTAGTCAAACATTTGACACATGACACTTGGCATCACTGCTTGGTCTGCTGTTGTGATCTGATAATGACAGTGTATAAGACATTTTAGACAGACATTTGACACATGACACTTGGCATCACTGCTTGGTCTGCTGTTGTGATCTGATGATGACAGTGTATAAGACATTTTTAGTCAAACATTTGACACATGACACTTGGCATCACTGCTGGGTCTGCTGTTGTGATCTGATGATGACAGTGTATAAGACATTTTAGTCAGACATTTTAGACAGACATTTGACACATGACACTTGGCATCACTGCTGGGTCTGCTGTTGTGATCTGATGATGACAGTGTATAAGACATTTTAGTCAGACATTTTAGACAGACATTTGACACATGACGCTTGGCATCACTGCTGGGTCTGCTGTTGTGATCTGATAATGACAGTGTATAAGACATTTTAGTCAGACATTTTAGACAGACATTTGACACATGACACTTGGCATCACTGCTGGGTCTGTTGTTGTGGTCTGATGATGACAGCGTATCAGATTGTAGGTAGACCCTTATTTCCTACATTACTGTTTTTAGAACAAGTTCCACTTAAAACTTAAGAAAAGCCCATGGATGTCTATGATGAATAAAGTTAAGGCTGGGCTTTATGACTCCTTATGTGTGGAAGGGCTGCTTTGGATCGTTAACCTTTATTTTGAAATAAAACATAGTTATTAGAAGAGTTATCTGAGGACATCATAGGCTCAGTGGGACATCAGTCAGGATTGATCATCTCTCCTAGATCACAGTAATTTGTCATCTGTTTCTTTTTAGCTCACCATTTTCTGATGGTGGTATGTTCAAATAACACTACACCCATTGTTCTTAAACAATTCTTGTTATCGCTATTTGTTAAAAAGTTCTTGATGCATGTCCACTGTCTATTTTGGGACAGATCTGAAA